CTTGTCTTACGACTGTCACTACTGAGGCAGAGAGTATGCTGAACGAAGCAGAATTGGGTGGGGGTCTGGGACTGGCTGTCGCCTTGATGTATGAGCGAAGTCTTGGGGAGAAATCGAAATGGGCTGGGTACTTGCGGCTTCTTCCGTTTCAGCAATGCCTCCCCTTTGTGTGGGAGATGTCAGAAATTGATCGGCTGCTGACTGGTACCGAGCTTCACAAGGTCTGTGTCTTGAATCCTACTGGGAGCCTTTTTTAGCCTTCTTGGATGTTAACGAGCATTCCGGCTATGCTTTCCGCGAGTAATAAATAGCATGCTATTCAGTTGGTTACTGCATAGTTGCATTTCGTTCTTGATTTGTTGGCCATGCGTGTGCTGATTAAGTTGGGTGATCCATCTAGACAGACACTTAAAGAGGACAGGAAGCTCATGAGGTCAGATTGGAAAGAATGCTATGAAATTCTTCTTGAACTTTTTGGAGAGGAGACATTTCCTGCCAAATGGTTCTCGATAGAGCACTACTTCGCGGCAAAGACGCTGGTTGCTTCACGGGCATTTGAAGTCGATGACGTTCATGGCTTTGGCATGGTACCTTTGGCTGACTTGTACGCTATGATTATCTACCTCATCTCCTTTGTGTTCTGAAACTTGTGTTTTATGTTTCTCCTTTCTTGTTATGTGATGTGTACACACACCGAATGCTTACAAGTTTTACGTCTTTGTTTTGCAGGTTTAACCACAAGACTGGTGCAGAAGATGTGCATTTTACATCTGTGTTGAGCGACTCCGATTCGGATTCAGAGCAGGATGAACCTACCACGCCAGGTAGTGCTGATGAGGCTGTGGAGAAGACTTCTGATGAAACTCCTAAAAAAGAACCCAGGAAGGGTGGCAAGCTTATTGCATCCGTGGACGAGAGCCCCAAGCCTAAAGAAGCAATCCTGAAGCGGTGCAAGTCTGCCCCAACTGTCAATCTGAGCCCTAAGCCCGAAGGACTAACTAAGAAGAACAAATTCAATCCAGCTGCTGGTGAAGACGAAACAGTCAAGGCGCCCAAGCCTGTTGATGAGGAGAATGGGGTTGAAGGGAATAGCGAAGAAGACAATGCGGACTGGGAGGGAAGCAGTGAAGTTCTTGAGATGATCATGGTCAAAGATGTTGCGAAGGGTTCTGAGGTAGGCAATTTCTATTAGAAACATACATCCGCAATTTCGTTATGCATCTCATTCTTGTATGAATGACGCATCCTTTCTCTCGATGTGGCATTCTTGTCAAATTAAAGGGTTTGCTGTTTAGGAAATTTTAACCAGTAACTTATTTGGTAAAACTTATCATGTGTCTGTTTTCAGTTGTGCACATTGCTTACCAAACCCCTTAACCTCGAACACTTGGACCTGACAACACGTTTCATGCAGGTATATAATACTTATGGTTCATTGAGCAATGCAGCCTTGCTCCACCGCTATGGATTTACAGAACCCGACAACCCTTTCGACATGGTAAATGTCGATCTTTCGTTGGTGATCGAGGTCTGCGGACGGTTATCTTCGACACGGCATGCTCGGAGATGTCTGACTCTTTGGCGTAAAGCTGGGTGTGCCCCCTGTTCCTCTCAAGGATCAGAATATTTCGAGTTCTCAGTGGATGGGAAGCCTCAACCGGAACTTTTGGTGTTGCTATATCTTATTCATACAGATGACGCAACTCGGGAAAAAATTGAGAAGGACGCTTCTCAGTGGAATGCAGTCGAAGTCGAGTTATCAGATGACGAGATTGATAGAGTTTCATCTGCTGCTGTGGACAAGCTGGCTAAAGCACTAGGGTGGGCATCTAAGGTTAAAAAGAACTCTACTAGGTAAACTATCTAGCTGCATCCTCTCGGTTTTCATGCTGTTCCTTCCGTGGTCCTGTCCTACAAGAATACCTTTCAGGTCGTGATTGCATTTAGTCTTTGAAAGTTAACCGTGGTCTCATAACTACGCAAGACTCTAAATCTGGTGGTTTTCACGTCCAATGTCAATGTTTGTGGCCCATCTGCAGTCGCAAGAGGAATAGGGACGATCGGGCTACACCAAATGGAAGCAACAAACGGATGACACCGCTAAGAGCTTCCGCCAAGCCAAGAGAAGAGGATCCCAGTTGGCTTTCAGATTTGGACAAGTGGCTTCTCACAAAATCGGTTTGTATATGCTTGTTGGCAATAGTGACCGAAAGAGACAGCATTTTTCCAGGGGTAGGTTCACTGACCAGTGAGAAGCCAGTAGGTGGCTCTGTAGGATCCTCCTTGGAAGAGGACAGGGTATTCTTTCGAAATATCGACTGCAAAAGTGATGCAAAGCTTTACCATGCTATGTTTTTGCGGATTAGTGAGCGCACAATTTTGGACAAATGTGCAACATTAATGAGAATAAAGTCGCAGAAAAGATGACAGCTGGGCCATTGTATTCCTATTTACAGGTGGTTAAACTGGTAGTATATGAGGCTTCTGTTGAGGGCTGTTACATGTCTCGGTTGCTTGTACATTTCAAATGCAATCCTCATAATGTGTTTTGAATATTGCTTATCGTTAGCCCCTAAGATCAGGCCAGCACCTTGACAGTCTGAGATTCTCTGTAGATACTTCTGTCTAGCAGCAAAGATAAGATACTCAGGATCTGGCCAGTTGGTTGATTCTATTGCCGTTACTTCGCAAACATGATAGTGTTCTAGACAAATTGCAGACTTCAATGTAAAATTTGTCTGCATGTACTAACTTTGCTAATTTTATGTTGTTTTATCAGGGTGTTATCTCATGCTGCCATATTTTTGAAGGGGATGTAGCAAGCTCTGTCTACACAACAGTCTTCCAGTTCACCTTAAATCTCTCACGGTCCTTTCCTGTTGTCATTGATGCAATCATTGTTCATGCAGGGTGAGGTGAATCTGGAGATTGTAACTAGGAGTTTTAAGTCAGAACCAACCCAAACGCGAAGTTAAGAAAGAGTACCCTTTAAGGGCTTGGGAGCTTTGTGGACATATTGGAATATGGGAGTTATCCGCATCAGCCCATCTCAGCAGATCACAAAATTTACAACCCACAAGAATGAACAATAATAACCAATTGAGTATGATGTGACGTGCAGTAATGGTCAAGAATTGACCCAGAAGCAATCGTCCTCATTACGTGTCTGTCGAAAGGAAAACGACTCCCAACAGGTTTGAGCATGTTACATAGAACAACGGTTCTGCCATAATCTCACATTACAAATCCCCACTTTAGATTAGGTAACACAATATATGACGCACATATATAGACAAATTTCGATGCAAAAATTCTCACTTAAACTAGCCATAGCTCAAAAGTATTAACCTCAGGAGGTCGAAGCTTGACCCAGTGCAAGGTAAATTCTATTAGGACCTACTTGCTGTAAACTACGGACAAAGTGAAAGGAAAGGATCACATCCTACTGGTTCATGCAGAGGCAAAGTCCAAGAGGGGCCAAGGCTGCCATTGCTTAAAGCTGTCTGGTGCCAACTCCTCAAATTGCATGCAGACACATGAAGCGAAAACATTAATCACGATCCATGAATTAATTCTGTACGTTAGATTCGTGCTGCAAATGGTACTACCTTCCGATCTCTGCTAGCCTCCTACGGTGACCGCCAATCCTCATGCCGAGATGATAGCCTTGCAGTACCATGCCTAATCTCATAAAAGTTAATATGCTCTCCCTGAGCTAAATGGCTAACGCCTCATTGTCCAGCCTAATCAAGTCAATCGCTTAGGGTCCAAGCAGAATCTTCCACTGCCAAGCTAAAACCGTCACGTGTCCTGGAACTGCACTTCTTAACAAACCAACAAAGTCGAAAACCACGCGAATCCGCTGAACATGAAAATGAAAGCACACAGTGGACAACGAGCGAGGCTGCCAGCTCCTATTTCCTCCTGAAGAGAGATGTGAGAGCTTGCAGTTCCCCCTCATCCGATTGCTCCGCCATTCCTCCGCTTCTGAATCTTTGCATGGACTCCAGTAAGCTATGCTCGGTGGACATAATGGTAGGCTCCATACTCGTAGCCGGCATTCCGACGTCGTAGAGGTGAGTTTGCATACCATGAAGGTAACTGTCTTCTGCTTTCACACGGGTGTATGGACCCGTGCTGGAGCCTCCAGGAATGCCCATTGACAACCCGGATGTGGACGAGAGCTGGGAGTGATCTGCGAGGTGTTGGGGCTGCAAGAATTCAACCGCCTGCGTACCCTGAGCACCGAAGGCCATTGTCATTCGTTGTTGCTGCAGCAGGTGTGTGTTGCGGTCTGTGAGCTGGGTTTGCATCATAGTTAGCTCCGCTTGCAAGCTTGCAACCTGAAATACAAGGACACCAATCCACAACAGTGTCAAGCTCGTCAGTACAGATCCTGACAGCAGAGGTTTGTATGAGATCTTCTGCGGTCGTTGTTCTAATCACTTACAATGACTCCCCATGAAAAATGACATCTTTGTCGATGTTACTCATGGCGAACAAACCTTCTTCGACCCCTGACATTCTTCAGCATTTAGTCACTACGTTCCATTTTACGTGTTTAGCAATAAGTACAAAAATCCCTTGTGTTAAAACAACACATGCACGCTGTAATAACTCAATAAGTGACTCATCTTTTCTGACCATAAGCAAATACTTAAATTTTATGGTTACTGTATTAGATATTCGGTCATCCAAGGTACTATACTTGTGGAACGGTTCTATGCAGACCACTTTGAATGCTACATCTACATTTCGTGACTGTTTAGCTTGGATAGGTGAATGAAGGTGCTGGGATATTGGAGGAGACCACTATGGCGGCTCTACCAGACTATTTGGAAAGATTTGATACGTAGCAGCACTTCAGTACTCACCCAGCGGGGTTGGGTGCCACGCTCGTACAGCAGTAAAAGTACCCTACGGAATTTAGATAGCCGCTCCAAGTCCGCTGCTATGATGAGCTGCCGGTACTAACCTCTCATGACAGACATGCAGCCGAAGTGTTACACCTCTCGATTCCTAAGAGTTTACGATTCGTTCCAAACTGAAGTTACTAAAGCAGAGAAGAATACATCGAAGTGTCCACAGGTTAATCTAATTAGTATAGTTTCTTGACATACATCGTTTTGAGCTCTGATCATATTGTGATAACTGGGTACATTAGATCTGGTAATGCAACTGCGGTAGGTTCCCACCGTCACCCTGCAGTAGACATTCCTGTGTCAGATGTGTGTGTAGCTGTACCAGGTTAGAATCGTACCTGGGCGTGCAAGAGATCAAACCCAATCGTTTTTAGTCATTAAAATCCAGTACAATACAGCTGCCGTATCATTTTTTGGGTTACTTCCTAGAGACGTAAAATCTGGAGAATGCAAGATTGTGTATGAGGAAGGTACAACTACAATTTCTTTTCAATAATATAGGAGCAGCGGTGTAGCTAAGGTAGTCGTACTGTCGAGGAGTAGAGTTCTCCGGAATCCATGAGTACCTAGTCTTGACTTGCTGATCAGAAGTCCGATTCTCATAGTTCCTCCCTCCTACTCATGGTTTTCGAACTTGAAACTAGATCGTTGCACCGGAGCTTATAAGACTCTAAAAATACCTCGGCAGTCTTTCTCTCTACGTCGCTCAGGTAAACAAGGCTTGTATCTTAAACATATTAGAGGTAAATGAGCTATCAGAAGGATTAATCCACACCACTATGAAGACCTAGCATCTCCAGCCTAGCTGTCGATCATATCCAGGTATCACGTGTCAACGATTAAAATCTCTGACCTCTTCATCCCAAGGTTCATTAATCACAAGCTACGAGATTGAGGCTCTCAGACGTCCTGTGTTGTTAAGATGATCTAGAAAGAGCCTGAAGTACCAGTTTTCACGTTTGTGTGAAACCATGCCTCTGAACCTCATGGACAAGACCCATGGAGTCTAAAAGTACGCTTGTCTGGTAACTTCTGAAATCAGAAGTAATCACTAGTACCCCTTACAATGCTATCAAATGTAATGATGTTCAGTACAAAAGTTCTAGAATTCTTGAGGTTCTGAACTGTTGTGAACTTAGCTTTTTCTGCAGTGCCTGATGAGTTTCATGACATTGATCATGAGTCTAATGATGCATCATTGGACGCACCAAACTTGCACCCATGGCTTGCTACCTTGATGGAGTAGGATCCCCATACACTACTCTCCTACGGCAGACTACGGAAGTTAGATCGTCAAGTCTAGAAATTGAGCTTCTAGAATGGGCCAGCTTGCAGCGGCGGATTTTTTTCACACTCACGACGGTTAGGCTCAACTTTCTTCACGATACAAAATATATATATATATATATATATATATATATATATATATTTATCGTAAAAGAAAAAAATCAATCAAAAAATCAAAAACAAAACTAGATCCAATCCGCGTATAATTGATCGGGATGCTGTGATTAGAGCTGATTGGACACGCATCTTGTGACACTTCTCGATGGAGTGGTTTAACAACTGAATCACTGCTGGAATGGGGCCAGAATGAGCATGCAAGTCACGAGGGGTACTGTAATATAATCTAGGTTCTATGTGCACTTAATGCTGGATCGCTCACATACATTCATTCAATCCTTAACGATGGCGGTCTGATTCAACACTGGGGAATTTAGTTGTCGCCAGAGTTTCTTCCTAAGATGTGAAGTCATGGTGACTAGTATGAATGTAGCGTATAGAGATAAGCACTCGAACTAAGTAAAACTGTACTACGTCGCAAAAGTTCTCTAAATACCATTTAGTATCGAACATGTCATCATCCTAAGAATTTGGGACCAAGGATGGGATTGACCTAACCAAACCGGACCGACTCCTAATCAATGCACTATACGAATGGGCTAGAGGCATGCAAATACCAATCGAATGAAACTCTTCACCTCCCCACTGTCAAGTTTCAGAGTTTCTACAACGAATTACATTAACCGCACAGCCGAACTAGGAAATGACTGATTTTGATTTCCCTAGGAACTTATACCCTTAACAGCTGTATGCTATAAAATTCCTTTTCTGCAAGCTTTCGTTCATGGATACTTGTGCAATTGGATAGACTAAAATCGATAGGATGGGATATCGATCAGTTGTGAGAAACTGGGAAAGATTCTAAGTGGCTTGGCGTCGGCAACTTCTGCAGTGAATTCTCAGAATGAAAAGTAGGTTTTATCCAATGCATATCATGGTTGGGGGAAATACTAGCAGCTCGAGTGCTTCGCCTACACGAGTCGTATCTGTACCTATGTTCCCGGAGTTACAAGGGTTTCAGCTCGCGAACAGTATGTGGCCCCAACTTTACCAAGCAGGGCAGAGGAGAAAATTTTGGATGGTGTTAAGGCAGCGCACCTGCTGCTGGAGAGCGAAAATGGTAGCGACGCAGCCATACACGGGATCGGACAATCGGGCCTGCGCTTCGTAGCTGATGGTCAGCACCGCATCGTTGCGTCGCGGCGCTGGTATATGCAACAGCAACTTAGCTACATTACTGGCCCCAAAAACTTTATGCACGGCGGCGAACTTCGCCGCTCCTTGCTCCGCACTAAAATATGGCGCAAAGATGCAACCCCTTACACACTTCCTGCGCAGGAATTTGCAGGCGCCACATGGTGCACCACTGCTCATGGAGGAATGGTATCCCCTAGCGTTTCTGCGACCTGAATAATCCTGAGCCCCTAAGTTTCTAGCCCTCACCGCTGATGCGGATGTATACCTCATCGAGTTATCCAACGCCCCCGCGCATTCTCTATCTGTGCTTCCGGCTGCAGCGGAATCAGTCGCTCCTTGTTCCTTATCACTGTCTAGATTGTGGGCACTCAAAATCTCCGATCCCCTCGGATTCCTGTCTCCCAAATGCTGCTCCCAGTTTTCCAGTTGATCCTTCTCTTTCCAGCCTTGGTCCAGATCCTTGTCGCTAGTGCTCACGCTTCCTGTCCAACTCACTAGGGGCTCCCGGTTCCACGTTTCCAGTTTCTGGGAGTCGCGAAGGGATGCGTCACTCTCCTGTGACGCTACACGCTTGCCTCTCTCAGTGGGGTCGTCAACCCTCAAGTCCCACCCCTCGCCCTCGCCCTCGCCTCCCCCGAGCTGCCTAAGCGTGGTACTACCAGGACTCGCCAGCGTGCCGCTCTACGCGGCCACCACTGGCCAGCCTGGGCCTCGCCTGGACAAATTGATTTCTCAATCTCGAAACCTTGCTACCTTCTCAGACTATGATTTTCAGCGTCATCCGTTAATTGGACAGTGTAAGTTTTCCGGATCGAGGGCGGCAATGGAGGTTGAAGAAAGCTTGTAGGATTATTAGAGCCACGGCTTCTGTGCTACCATATTGAAAAAAATAAAAAATAAAAACACTAAAACCAAAAACTAAAAACGTTGTGAGAGAAGGGCTGGCAGTATGAGGCGATCAGAGCACGTTTCCTGCTCGGATTAATCCAACACGAATTTCTCCGGGTTGCGAACCTGCGAGGGTCTTAGACCAGCAACGGCAGAGCGCAGACAAGGCCAATCTGGGGTTCGCGATGCACTCATGGTCATTATCTCAACTCCCGATTAAACTGCAAAGGCCGGACGCTTCTACTTGGAAGCATCGTCGTCCACCGACGGTCGTTGATGGTTTTACCCTTCGTGAGGCAGCACTACTGCGCTGCACGAGCCATCTCAAATCGATCTTCTCATGAAAATGCATGAAGAGAAACGACAACCCGGGTGATGACTGTATATAAATCCCTCGGAGGCAATAAAAACCCCAGCCCTGGGCATGAACCCCAACAAAGATCACCACCGCAAAACTAACGAACTGCAACTGTCGACGACAGAGATGGTACGCGCCACCCACGAATGCAATAGGTCAGCAGCGAATTGCGGGTTAAGCCCAATGGCTTCGTGCTGGAGTAGGATGATTGGCTCTGATGGCTTATTGGCTCCAAAGTGCTCGAGTCTAAGACCAGCCGCAACCGCAACCCCAACCCCAAACAAACCAAGGAAAGCACGCACGCACGCACGCAGGCAGGCAGGCGGGCATGCACGCACGCTACAGCAGGGAAAGGCAGGTCCCGAGCAGTTGGTGGATTTATGTGGGGTTCTTTCCTTCCTTCTTTCCTTGCTTCCTTCCAGAGTGAGGAGCGGCGGGATCCCACTCGGGTAGTGCGGTGTGATGTGGGACTACTACTACTATTACGACTACTACGACGATGGTGATAAGTGAGTGAGTGAGCAAAGGTGGTGTATTGGGCGTGAGCTACACGAGTTTCCTGGACTAAAAACAAAACAACGAGCGCGCTTCCCTGCAACGCTTCCGCTCTTGTAGTAGTAGTAGTCATAGTAGTAGTTGTTACAGTAGCCCCTGCGGGGTGGGTGTCGGAGACGGTTGCAGGTCTCGGAGACGAAGACACGCAAGCACACACACCCACCCGCGGGCTCCGGTCTCCAACCCCGACCATGTTTCCGACGTGGACACAGGGTGCGTCGTCCCGGAACGAGTTGGCGCCATTTCATCCGCAGCGGTGCCAGATGTCGTTGTAAACCAACAGATGCCTTGTTGTTTGTTAAAACTCCACTTTTCATTTGAAAAAAAAACAAACAAACAAACACACACACACCAGATGGATAATTTTTTTCAATGAATAACTCCAAGAATTTATTGAAAAGCCTTGTCTTTTGCATGTAATATTTATTTGTTTTTCTCTCTGTATATATATGAATACATGTAAGGAAATGTTAAAATGATCCATCCATTTATTAAATCCACCTACCATATTATTACATTATTAGAAAAATGAATTATTTCCAAAACCATCATTAGAAACTCAACCCCCCTCATTTCCAACCCACTCTCTCACCATTCTTAGTCTTCATCCTAATCCCCCTCATTCCTAATCCATGTTCTCTTCATTCTCAACCTTTATCCCAACTCCCCTTCTTCCTAGCCCTTGGTCCTCTATTCCTAGCCTTGAAAACAACCTCCTTCATTTTAATCCACTACTCTTTTATTCTCAACCTTCATCTTGACGTCCTTTATTCTCAATTTGTCCTCTCTCCATTCCCAACCTTCATTTCAAATCCCCTCTTCCTCCTCCTTCTCTCTCTCTCCAATTCTCTAATTCCTCCCACTTCTAATTCTCATTTTGATCCTTTTAGGACTTGCAACTTCAATAAATATTATAAACATAACTTGATCCATACATTAAAAATTGCACCAAGGACCATTACACACTCTAGCAAAGTTTTAAAAGATATTTTAGTATTACTATAGGGAGAGATTTTCATTATTAATAAAATTAGATGGAAAATTGTGGTTTAGAAATCAATAAAGGAGCCTAATCTTATGCTTGTGTTCTCCAATTCTTCACTCAATGTCTTCTTCATTAAAAGAGCCACCACTAGACCTTAGCTATATCACTCCATGGCAATTGTTCTCCATGATACAAAAATTGTTATTGGTGGTAGTAATCCAAATATTCAATATAAATTTAAGAATGTGAAATATAAGTCCAAGCTTTGGATTTAAATGTATAATCCATATTATATAAATAATTTATATAATATTTGACAATCCACAATTGTCATCTCACCTTAAACTATGAATTATAATACAAACTTGAGTATTAATTTTATACTTAATCAAAAATTATGTCTAAACACCATTATATTGATTATATTCTTTTTTACCAATTTGACCACATTTAGACAATCTTAGAACTTTCCAACTAAGCACTATATTCTTAATTGACTCTATTATTATATAATTGTTGTATATCATAAGTCTCTAAAAAATACTTACATTACTTTACTTGAAGTCTTAGTATGAATTTTTACCACCAAAAATGATATTGAGATCAAGATGTTTGCAAATTTTGATCTTAGAGGCATAATATCAAGGATATGAACCTCAAAAAAACTAAAATATCAATACACTCTTAAGTCACTTGAAAAGACTAGAAAATTACTCAAAGATGATAACTATTAAATTATAATAGCTATTGCCAAAGATAAGAAAATTAAGAAGTCTTTAAATAAAACTAAGGATTAGAAAGGAATTGATAAGAGTGAAGAAGTCTTCATTCTTGCCTCCATATATATTTTTAATTAGGAGCTATGTGGCGATGTCCAATAGGACCTCTAAAACATATTGACTTAGCAAGACGTATATCTTAACTTACAAGGTAAGTTTTTTATATATGTATAACAAAATTAGCTTATTTTGTAAGCTACTTATATGTGGTTAACTTATTGACAAAGTTTTTAATCTATCAATCAACTACAAATACATGTAAAGTCAAAACAACATCTATGAAGCTTCTAAGAAGCTTTTTTAAAAAATATAATAAAATAAATTCATTTTTATCTACTTCTATTTAATCATATAGGTAAATATTAAAGTAATCATGTATATTCGTGACATTACTCATCTTTTTAGAGATAAGTTCCATGAAGAGTAGTGATTATATATTGAGGAAATTAAAGATGCAGTAAATTGTATTTGCCTCATATTTTGATCTTTGTTTTCTATGAACATGGTTGATAGATCCTCTCAGCCATCAATAGTATTCCACATCAAGGCGAGAAGACTACCCTATTACTTGATCGTTATTAAGGCCTTTATAATTTCTTTCAAATAAAACATTTGGAGGACTTTCAAGAATTATTTCTACCTCTAATAAAAACACCAAACATTAGGAATTTCTTCTAAGGTCATGATACCAAATATATTGTATCTTGCCATCTACTTAAGAAAAGATTTATTTTTTTTTGAAGATCTTCATTTTGATTACGTTATCTTGAAGGTTATAACAATTGTAATATCTTATTCAATAAGTCAGTAAGTAATAACTCTTGAGTTGAATCTATTGGTTGTTAATTCTCCATCTTTTTAGTGTCATAAATATATAAAAATTACAAATAAGAATAGAAGATAGAATGCTATCTTCTTTAGATCTTATTTCTTTTGTAGCAAATATTTTTTATTTTTTATTTTAAATCTGATAGATTTCATCAATAAAAGGCTTCAATCTTCTTTATTGCATTTGCAAGATTCTTTGTTTGCTCTCATGTATATTTATTAATAATATATCTATGCCAATAAACAAAATATTTTAATCTATTTTGGCCCTACCTTGAATCTAAGACTTCTTCAATCTTGAACTCTTGATTATTATCCATTTTTATAGAAGGAGGTAGCATTTATCTTCTTCTCAAGATATTCATTGTCTTATATGACTCAAAAAGAAATACATAGAATACATGATGGATCTTCATAGACTTTGATAGATGTAATTAATAAACAATAAGATTAACTTAATTGCTAATAAAAAAATTCTAAGCTTATAATAGTTCAATTTGTCACAAAGACAACTAATCTTGATGTTACGACAAAGTAGCCATACCTTGTCACCCACATTGAATCATCATTATTACTTATAATAGGCATCCGTATTGATTTTTTGTTGTTCTTGAACTTCTTTTAATTGTGTCTTCATTGTTAAATGTAACTTTGATAAATAATTTGCCCAATCTTTTGTCGTAAGATTATCAACTTTTCAAAAGTCAAAAATATCAAGTTATGGATGATAATCATAATTAGGAAAGAAAAGTTTTTATTAAGTAGACAAATATATTGAATTATTATATATGAACTCTGCTAATGGTAAAAAAGTTGTTCAATCATCTTGATAATAGTTGATGATACACATCAAATATTGTTGCAAAACTTGATTTACTTATTCCATTTGCTGATTATTTTGAGGATGAAAAGCAAAAAATAGCTTTATATCCATCTTTAAAATCTTAAAAAGGATTTTTTGGAATATTGATATAAATTGAGTCTCTTTATTTGATATAATATCTTTAAATAATCTATAATAACAATAAATATTGTAAAAAAAAAAAAAAAATTCTTCATCTCTGATATATTTTATATATGGTAAAAAATAAATCATCTTAGTAAAAAGATCTACTATCACAAATATAAAATCATTCAAACTTAAGATTGAAAGATCTATGATAAAATCTATAGTAATAGAAGTTTATAATTGTTTTTGAATATGTAATTGGTAGAAAAGTCCATAAGATTGATTATGAGGAGTTTTTGATCTTACACAAATATCACATGATTGTACAAAGTCTTTAACTGCCTTTCATATTTGAGGCCACCAAAAATCTCTTGAAATTAGATCTAAAGTCTTATTGTATTCAAAATGTCTGACTATTGGAAAGTCATGACAAGCTTGAAAAACACGTAATTATATATCACCTTCTAGAATATATAATTATTCTTTAAAATAGAATAAATTATTTTTGAATTGAAACTTAGAAGTATCATGAGATTTAGAATAATTGTTCATGATATCATAAATAAGAGGATCAAGGGATATACTTGATTGAACTTACTTGGCAAAAGTTAAATCAATAGTTAATGTTAATTTTATTATTCTAAAATGAAAATGCTTTAGCTTTAAGAAGATTGTTCTTTGTTGATCAAAAGCTACATTTCTTTCTTTTAGTGCAAAATAAAGATGTCCAAAAAAGAAATTTAACAAACCTTGTTATTTTTTAGGTGAATAAATATTCTTAAAATCAAATCTTAATAAAGACATTCTCCAATGAGCTTGACAACAATTTAAAATACATGTTGACATCAAGTACTTGAGATTCTTATGATCTGTATATATGGTGATTAGACTAGAAGTCCTTCTTAGATAATGACACCATTCTTGAAATAAATCCACAATTGTAAAAAATTCTTTGTTATGGATCTCATAATTAATCTTGATTGATGAAAATTTCTTAGAATAAAAAACTATTAAGTGGAGCTTATCATCTACTTCTATTTATAACAAAATAACACTCATTGTAAAGTTTCTTGCATCCATTTCTATAAAAAATATCTTCAAAAAGTTGATACAATACAAGTTTGGTACAAAAATAAATGTTGTCTTCAAGGCTTCATAAGATGCTTCAATTTCTTTGCTCCACTCAAGTTTATCTTTATATATTAAGCATTTAAGAAAGGCCATAACTTGAATTTTTTTTTTAATGAAGATCCTTTAATAATTGACAAATATATAAAAAAAAAAAATACTTATCTCTAATTGTTTTTGAGATCTTTAAATCTATGATAGTTTGGACCTTTTTAAGATCTATAATAAAACCATCATTTGAAATAATATATCCTAAAAAATTAACTTAAGTAATATAAAATATATACTTTTTCATATTGGTATATAATCTTGCATCTCTTAATTTTTATATTATACAATGAATATGAAATTTATATTCTTTTGTATTCTTAAAATACATT